GGGTACACCCTTACTCTTTTCGAGAAACGCCCAGGGATTTTTAATGACCACAGAGAGTCAGGACCTCGGTTTTACGTCTCATCCGAAGGATGGATGAGAATGGTTATCTTGATGAGCATGGTTTCATGCTTACCTATGGTATGAGTCAGGAATACCCCAAAGATCCTGAGTTGTGTGTATAACCATATTGGAAAGAAATGTGAAAAAATGTTAACATGGAGATATCAGTTTTCCTACATTTCATTTCCATCCCAAAACACAGCCATACTATCAAAAATCTAACTCTAGCTAAGCATTGGGACAGGTTAGGGTTTAGAATTCCTCCAAAGAATGAAGGTATATATACTTTATTGAATCAAAGTTAGTCCAAAAAGACAAAGCAAACTCCTCTTACCAAAGAGAATGCATCAACAACGCTAAAATTCCATTATTGGTCAAGTATGCCTTACCTCAAAGTTTCATGTTGAATGGTGTCCTCAAATCATTTAGTTTCATGCTTAACTAGGGTAAGAGTAAAAAATAAACACTGAATCTTTGAGGTATTCCTAAATATGAGGCAGGAGTTTTAGAAGTGTAATCACTTTTTTTCTCCTCTTTTGCTAAAAGGGCAGTTTAGACAAATTTCCCTTTTAGGGCTGTTACACTGTGGGAAATGGAACATGCTAGGATGGGGGTGGCAGAAGTTAATGGAGCTTTTTCTTCTAAAGCTGAGTGCGTCAGTTCTCACCCATTTATCCTGTTCATTTCTCAGCCTCTGGGTGCACCCACAGGTTGTGGAAAGGAGGAGAACAAAAAGGTAGATAACTATTTTTAGAGAAACAAGGCATAGTGTAGAATGTCACCAGCTCACCTCTTAACAGTACTGCATGAGTGGAGAAGCCAGTAGCTATTTGTTTGGAGGGCTCCTCAAAGGTTGCAAACAGATAGACAGGTTATATGAGAATATATTCTATATATATATAATAAATATATATATACACACACACCTTAAAGCTTAGGTAGAGGAACATACCCTTCCTGGAATGCTGAGAGGGGACATTATAAGAGCCTAATGTTATTACTAAAAATGGCAACCAGGTACTGATCTAGTGAATGTCTGTTATGTATACTGGTAAGGGTTTTATGTAAATGGTTGCCCCCCCCCAAATTACATGTTATGTTGATTTTCTAAGTGAAAAGAAGTCAACAACCTCTGCAGCTAACAAACTTCAATTTGACATGTTTCTGCAATTAATGCACAGTTATTATCAGAAACTCAGACCAAAAAATAAAGATACTTGACTTACAACACAGGGGATAGCTATAAAAAAAAAAAGATATCTAAACACTTCCTGCTTGGAATCCCCACTGTCTGAAATTTCATTAAGAAATGGAAGTTAAGGGGAACAGTTGAAATCAAGACAAGATCTGGAAAACCCAAGAAAAATCTCCAATAGAACTGCTCATAGACTGGTCAGGAATGCAAAGCAAAACCCCCATATCACTGCAAAGGACCAGCAGGAAGGTTTAGCTGGCACAGGAGTAGTGGTGTACCAGTCCACTGGGCAGCGTTGCTTGCACAAACATGACCTATATGGAAGAGTCATCAGAAGAAAACTTTACCTGCTATCGCATTACAGAAGTCAACATCTGAAGTATGCAACAAAAGCCAAAGGCATTTTGGAACCAAGTGCTGAGGTCTGGCTAAGTAAAAATTGAACTCTTAGCTAAAACCACAAAAGGTACGTTTAGAGAAAAAAAAGAAGCATTTGCCAAAAAGAACCTTTTTGTTAAGCAGGGGGGTGGAAATATTATGTTTTTTAACTGCAGGTGAAAAGGTCAGATATTACAACAAGACAATGATCCAATGAAATACTTCAAGAAACTAAAGATTAAGGTTTTGGATTGGCCTTCACAGTCCCCAGGCTTGAATATTATTGAAAGTCTGTGCGTAGATCTCAAACATGCAGTGCATACAAGGAGACCTAAGAATATTTCTGAACTAGAAATGTTCTGCAAGGAAGAGTTGGGGGGAAAAAAAAATTGAAAGAAAGGCTATTAGCTGGCTACAAGAAATGTTTGGAGGCTGTGATTTCTGCCAAAGGGGGTGTAACTAAGTACTGCCCAAACATTTGCACATGCCACATTTACAGTTTTATTTTTTTCAAATCTGTTAAATACAGCAAATAAAAAGTACATGTGCATTAAAATTTGCAGAAATCTCAAGTTTAAGTTTGTTTGCAGCAGAGGTTGCGTTAACTTCTTTTCACTTGGAAAATCAACAAAACATGTATTCTGGCTAGGGGTGCCCTAACTTTGCATACAATTATTTGTGTTCAAGTTTTCCCAGACTACTTTGCTATGCATTTTTCTTGTGATTTTTATGTACGTTTGTTCTTTCCGATACCTGCTGGAGAAACCCAGTGAGTGCTTGAGTGGCCAGCTGCATAACTTCAAAACTTCAATAAAACCAGCCTTTAATTTATTTTCAGTGCAGACTTGCTATCGTGTATCCTCTGTAAACAACACGTCCTACTGTCAACCATACCCACACAAGAGGTGTTGTGTGACAATAGTAAAGCAGTGTATACATCCAAATAGAAAAGAAAAATGTGAACCTGGAAATATCAGTTTTCCTACATTTAATTTCCATCCTAAAATACAGCCATACCATCAAAAATGGTATACATTATATGTAAATCCCAGCCCTACCTAGCTAAGCAGTGATTCAGGTTAGGGTTGAGAATTCTTTCAAAGAATGAAGGTAACCTTCCACTTATTTGAGTGGAAAATATACTTTACTGAATCAAAATATTAGTTTGAAATGACAAAGCATACCCCTTTAGCCAAAGAGAATGCATCAACAATGATAAAATTCCATTAAGTATTCCTCACCTGGAAGTTTCATGTTGAATGGTGTTTGCAATGAGCACAGCTTCATTATACTTAATTAGGGTAAGAGTCAGGAATACCCCAAAGCTTGAGTTTATTTGTTAATATGCCTCTCAAAACACAAGAGTTTGAGAAGTGTAATCAGTCTTTCAAACTTGCTCCGAGGGCCATATATAGATGTAGCCATTCAGAATGCTTGTTAAAATCCAATACTGCAGGTACTGTGTTTTACGGTGGCATGCGATTCACAGGCCAAAAATGATCAATAGGTGGCACATGTTAGTGAAATATTTATTTAATTTTATCTCCCTACCATGTTTCAAATCCTCTTAATATGGGAATTTCCAAGTAAAGAGAAATTTAGGTAGTTGACAAAAATAACAGGTACATAACATCAGTGAACATCATTATCAAAGTTAAGTTAAGAAACAAAATACTAGCCATATACAGTACGTCATGATAATAAAAAAAACAGTATTCCACTATCTTCATAAACATTTTTTGCATCAGAGTATTTAACTTGGTCACTTACCGTTTTTATTTAGGAAAGTTAACGTTCTCATTCTGATTATATTAACTTTTAGAACATTATAAGTTTTTTTTATAACTTTTCTATGAATACTTGATTTCATTTCAGCCAAGTGCACTTTTTAGAATCTGCTTAATAGGGAATAACATTGAATAGTATCAAAGTATTACACTTTCTTAGTAAATATGTGCAATTTCTTTGCCTCATTAACTCATGATTACTCTGGAAACTTTGACCTTTCCTTTTCAGCTAGTTTGCCGAGTGGCATGTTGGTACAGTGGGTTTGGTAATGACTTTCACCCAGCAGATCCGGGAACTATCCAGTTTTCTGCTTCTGCTCAGATTGCAAGGCACCTTTCTCTTTCAACACAGTCATTTTTTTGCACTCTTGCAGCAATTTATTCCAGTCTATATTGTTCTGCTTGCTCTTACTCTGGGATTTGCTTCCATCCACAGCCAAGGACTTCTTACCTCCCTAAGACAAATGCCAAGTGGGTGTTCTTATCCCTTTTCTTCTCTTCAGGGCTCATTAGGACCTCAGGCCTTGCCCACTTCAGGTCCTCACACCTGTACTGCAGCTCTTGTTCCAGCCTCCATCTTGTTTCTGCCCTCCTCATCAGGAGGGGCTTGTGCCATGTGGCCATATTCCACGCAGGATACACAATTCCTTCTCACAGGCTCTCCCGTGCATGCCCCAGACCACATCTGCCATGGAAGTCAGACCTCTCATCAGATGGGGAGGTCATTTCTTTAAGGATTCCCTCTGAAGATTCTCATCTGCTGCCAAAACATTCAGCAAGATTTTCAGAGAAGCTGAAGAAAAGTACAGTGGAAGACTGAGTGAAAAAGTCAAGACAGTTACTATGTGCGGGAAAGGTTTACTGTTCGCACCCAAGACCTTTCTACAACTTAAGCCTGTGATTCTTCATACCAATTCAACCAGAGAGAAATTAAATAGATTACTGGATGCCAAATGCCATCTTCCTGTCCTGTTTGACTTCTGACACTGCCCCTTTCCTTGTATGTTCAAGTCTTGCATACTTTTAATGTATAAAAAGGAAAGTAACTTCAGCCAATAGAGCATGTCTTACTGAGTGCTAGGGGAAACCCTTTCTCTGTGATATGCTCCCCTTCAGCTGATTGAACTAAAGATCTGTTTGACAATCTCCTAACCTGAGTGAAAACCGAGTTTTCTTCAACAGTACCTAATTCCCTACATCTTCAGGGATCCCTCAATCCACTAAGAGATCAACATTTTTCACCAAAAATATTCCTTTGCACATGCACTGAAGAGCCAAAACAAAAATCAACCATTTCACAAACCACAACCTATGCCCTCCACCAAATGTACCCATGGGAGTGTCATTAGAGGATCTTAGAAAATAGGTAGGTCCAGGACAGCAAACACTAAAACACAGCTGTAGAGTTTTAAAACACCCAATTGCAGTTTATTTGGCATACTGGGAAAACATAAAAACATTAAACCAATGCCCAAAAAACAAAAACCTAATCTCTTCTGGGAGCTCTTGCCTGAACTTGCAGGTCCTAACTACAATATCATGCAGCTACAGTGCTTGGAGGCCACAAAGTTCTCTCCAAACAATCTCTCAGATTCTTCTCTACTTTTCAAACTAGAGTCTCTCACACCAAACCTCCTCACAAAATGTTAAAACTCACAACTTCCTTGATCCATGGTCAGTTCTTCTCTAATGAGGGATGCATATGGAGATTATGTTTTCTGTTCTCCTCAGGGAGGCATTCCTCCTACCCACGATTAACTCTAGAAACTTCCACTTCCTGTGTTTTTAAAGCATCACCTGACCAATTGGCTTCCTACAACTGGTCAGGTGACTGAGCAGCAGCTCATTCCCCAGAGGAATCTGTGGAATATAATCCCTACTAGAGCTGTGCTCTTCACACTAAATTTAATTTATCTGAAAAACAGCCATGTAAAAAAATGTCTGTTTTGTGGGAAACCTAGCCCTAACCCTAGCTAATAGTTTGCGTTAGGTTAGGGTTATGGTTCAGTTTCTGCAATTTTCTACTCATTTGAGTGGAAAACCTACAGCACTGAATCAGAATGTTGATCTAGAATGACAAAGGAATCTCAATAAACCAAAGAGAATGCATCAACAATGGTATTATTCTATTTTTTGACAATTATTTTGTTACTAGAAATTTCATGTTGAATGGTGTTCTCAATGAGCTTAACTAGGGTAAGAGTGAATTAAACCCACATTTTCTAGGAGCAAGTGTTAAGCTCAATCACAAAGGGAACAAACTATTCTCTGACTTGAAATAGAAATATGATGAACAACCAGAGCAGTCGCGTGAGTATTTGATGTAGTGCTTGCAATTAGAGAGAAAACGGATTTTCACGCGGCTGTCAGGGACGAAAAGCTAGAGGGCTGTAATTGCTGTAATTGCTGGGGTCTATTGCCCTCCAGTGTTGACCAGCGGTATTGCGATAATAACTTTTTCACTTGTGTCGCAAGCCATACTGTTTAAAGTACGTACTGTAAGAAAAAGAATGTAAAGATAACATTAAAATCTCACTTTTCCCTTAATTTAATTTATGTCATGAAACACAGCCATGCCATCAAAAAGTGTATACATTTTGTGGGAACCTTAACTCTAGATAAGCATTTAGGTTACAGGGCACTGTAGGTAAACTCTGTTATAGACCACCAATTTCAAGAACAGCATACTCCTTAAGCAGTACAACTTCTGATTTGAAATATGTTGTATTACATATGCTGTTACTGGGTTTCTTTACAAACTGCTTCCTGAATTTTTTATTCTTAAAATTCAAATTGCTGCATTTCACCAAACTGTATAAGACCTGGTGTGAGTATAAATAGGTTAACAGAAAACACAAAAAAGACAAAGATGATTTGATAGACTTATCTTATGGAGTACCCATGTGACAAATTAACTCCAGATTAATGAGCATCATTCTAGTAGATGTGCATTTGCTCTTTGGGACTTGTGTTCAAGTGCTCGTAGCAGTGAATATTCAGGTACAGTAGAGCTAAACTTCACAGTTATCATTATGGCAAAAATTAATATAAATTATATTATTTTACAGTTGTATTCTTTCAGTTGTCTGGTTGCCATTGTTTATTGGTTCTGTTGTGTACTGAACATTCATATTGCTCACGATCAAACATTGTGCATCCATTCAACTTTAAAATTGCAAGGTTTATATTGGACACTTGATAACTGACAACTGATAACCTGCAGTCTTTTGGTACTTTATGTTTCTGGATAAATAAAGACATAACTATTATACAAGAGCATATACAGTACTATTCTTTCTTTAATTTGTACTTGTACAACAACCTTACTCTATGTTGTTTTATTCTAGTATTTTAGGTTTTGGCTCTCCACTTGGAACCATTATACTGAAGTTTTTGTTGTGCTGCACTCTCTGTAATACAGGTTTAGCATAGACATTTCAAAAGGTTTCTGGATATTGTTGTCAGTACTTCCCTCACTATCAATATTCTATGCTGTGTTTTGTTTAATGTTCCAAAACATAATAGGTTACCTCTCCAGGAAATAACCTGATAATATTTGCAGAGCACGTTAGTAAATTTGTCACGGGCGGGTGTGAAACATTGATTACCGATGTATAATAAATTAACACAATTTAAAATATAGCATAATTAATGTAATAAATGCAACTGTTTAGTAGACCAGTGCATAATTATAGCTGTCATTTTAATTATACTTAAACTATGCTTTGTAGTCAGAATCAATAGGTTCTTAACTGGGGAGATAAACATTAAAAATCATTTAAAAAAGAATAAATGAAAGTGAGGAATGTGTATAGTGTGTATTGATTAATTTAATGTATATACTCTGTTGGTAATATAATAAAAGTGAAATGAAACAGTTCACCACAGCTTTTAATATAAAGCGAGTATTTCCATCCATCCATTTTGAGCTGGACTCTATCCCTGCCAGCAACAGGAACAAGATGGGATACACCCTGGATGGGACACAAGTCCATGAAATATGGGTGTATTCCTCTTCCCAATTAACAGAGCATTTTTGTTTTGGAGAGATGGCTTATTGACTGCCAATGCTAATGCCAATATACTGTATTTTTTAGCTCTAGGATTCACTCCAATTATACATAAGTATCAAGCAACATGTTTGTTTAATCTATTGTCTGATTTTGTTCTCTATCACCAAACTGTTCACAGACAAAAAAAATGCAGACCCAAGATTGGTATTTCTGATTAGTTTTATTTAAGATTGGTATTTTGCTTACACATACGCATGTGTTAGGACTTACAGTCGCAAGCTGCTATACCTGCAGTACAGAAGAATATAAGTAATGTGGACACATCCATTACAATCTACTATATGTCATTTAGAAAACACCACAACGTACAGCATCTGTATTTTTGTATATTTGTATTTAGCTTCATTCCAGGCATACGCAGACAAAGTATATTTCCAAAACGTTTCGTTGACATATTTTAGACTCAAATTGTTTGCATACTAACAAAAAGCTATTAATAATTTACCATACATAAATAACTCAAATACAAACAGCTTATACAGTCAACTTTATTTAATAAGGATTGTATATTCCATGTGGATAATCACGAACTAATTACCATTTAGCTCCAGCAAACCTTTCATCAGAAGGCTAAATGAAACAGTGTTTCCTCCAAACACTGTTCATCATTCCCCAAAGACTCAATTAACTGTTTTCTAAAAACACAGGGCTTTTTTTTCTTTATGCAGTGCCGGAAGTAGGGCAATAAAATCTTATTTATTATAAAAAATCCATAATAGGAAATAAAAATAAAAAATAAAGATAATCCCAAAACAAAAAACTGTTACAAGAATTGAAGTATCACCTAAGATATGTGTGGCCTTCAGAAATGCTTCTGTTGTGAACAAATAAGTAGAAAAGTCAAAGAAACAACAGAAAATACTGAAATGCTTGTCACCAGAAAGCAGTTGGAAGTTATGGAAGACCTAAACTTTACTGTTAGACCCTGCATTGTTATGGAAGACCTAACCTTTTCTGTTAGACCCTGCATTGATGGCTGGGATCCAAAATCCTGAGTGGAGGTTGATGTCTGATCTCACTGCAGAGCTATAAAGCTTTCATATTGTGTCCATGCCATCAGGGTAAGACAGGGCCCACAGTACCTTTTACCAAATGCATGGGAATGTTCTCTTCACAATATTGATTCTTAACAGTGATTTACCCTTTTCAAAAATGGAGAGTGTTATTTAGTTCATGACAAGGAGCACTGAGACATGAAGGAATCTATCATCCTTTTTTAGGCCTTTCCTGTTTTTTATAGCCATTTATTTTTAGACCTTTGGGGGTGGGGTGGTATGGGGTTCTCTAATACTATAAAGATTAATCCAATGACCTGCTGTGATTCCCAGTACCTCAAAACAGAGGTTGGCTTATAGTCTTGTATTTTTTGCCACAGTTCTTTAAAAAGTCACGTAGGGTAAGTTCTCAAAATTAGAAATGCATTGTTACCAAAAGCTCAGAATCATGTATCAAACACTTGCATTTTGTATCATATGTCACATCTTCTGCAAAATGACAATATTTCTTTTACATCTTAGAAGTGCTTGCAGGAACTTAAAATAATGAAGAGGAGGAATCTTTGCTCTTATACAGATTTTATTTTTTACTTAAACTATGTTAATCCTCCATATTGTCAGGTTGTAGGACGCATCACAACAGGGAGATCAAAGTCACCCCCAGTCTTATAAAACAATGTCCGCAGTACCTCTTCAGTCTCGGTACCCACAGGAGCTAGGGTGTAGGACACCCTCAAATAGACACTTTACTGTACATACAGAGTCTCTGATATTAAATAAGCATGCAAAACAGTTAAAAGTTGACCTTCCAAACAGCAGGAATCATTAATTACACAAGGACCTAAAAACATTGAACAGTTTACTCAGAGCCTTTACCTATTATGCATATAAACGGATAGTCTCGGCTACCCACATTCTGTGTGTGTAAATCAAAATGGTTAAAAAAGACAAAAACTTCAACCTCTAATTATGTATTTTGGGAAAATGAATTTTATTTATTCTGTTTTTTACAGTACTTAAAAGATAACGATATAGGTTAAAGTAGATTAAGGTTTCCACTTGTTTAATCTTCATATAATGCTTAATGTGATTCCAATAATGCAGAATGCAATAGCATGAAATTACTGATCAAAATGATAAATGACTAAAGCAGGTAGAAACCCACAAACCTACATTCTGTCTAGAGGTAGAAATATTAAAGTTACCCTAAAACAACCCCTATTGAAGACACCAGTCAATAAACTGCAACTCTGATTCCCACAATACTGACTTACAAACGAGTTCTCCTATTTCTTTATTGTCAATATACTGTATGTGTATAAATGTATGTTTTTTATTGTATTTAATAATTCAAGTACAGTATATTCAAGTATGTTGTTATTGTTTTTTAATAGTACTGAAAAAAACCTTGTTAAAAGCAATATATTTTTTTTAACATTAACCATGCTCCAGATAATAAAAATAGCCATATTAGTTATTCCATATCTGAATAACTTAGTAATATCTACAAACTTAATAACATCCTTACTTACACTGAGCAATATTCAGTGCCTTTGTTATAGTAATCAGAATATACAGCAGTTTTTAAAAAGTTGTTTTCTGTTTCTTAGGAGGGAGCAAAATTCTTATAGAAAATGGAAAAATGCAAATTTGTTGTAATAGCATAATCAGTGTAAATTGTGATT